TAAGTTTGTGTATCTGACAGTGAACTTACAATGTAGCCAACAAAATAGAATTCTCAGGGTGCTATGCCTTTCAGCTTAGGCAGTTTATCCAATCATCACAATAGCAATATTGGCATTTTCAAAGTAAATTCTAAGGTTTTGAAGTAAATAAGCAAAAGATTATAGATAGGGACTTCCGGAACCTGAATTTGACTTTGAGGTGTCTGAGAAAGCACTGGTGACAACAAAGGTAAAGGTTTATAGACAGTCAATATAAAGCAGTATCTTGCAAATTTTAATTTAAGCATTCAACCCTTTACTTCAAACGTCTTTCAAAGTAATTTGTATGATTTTATTCTTTGAGTCTTAAGCTGAATGCATACGAACATAAAATAGCTGTTTATTAAGGATATAAATATTGTTTCAAATTAATTCTATAAATGTATTAAAGAGTATAAACATTAATTAGTTATGCCTTGTTGAAAAACAATGTGGCAATTTTTGAAGCAGAAAAGAATGCCTGAGGATATATTAATGTTCTGGTTACAACATTTTTTTTTCTCAGACCTTATTTTTAGCTAATCAAAAAATGTGTTTGGGCCCAAAGGAGAAAGTTGCCACACGCTGTTCATTCTCCCAAATGCCTAAAATGAGGTTTGAAACCAAAAGACCAGAAGTCAGTCCTTGTCCCCCATGTCCATGGTAGCTGAGCCATCCCCACTGCTTCTGAGCATTCGGCAAGGCAGGAAGCCAAGACCAAGAGCCAGAGCCAGGTATTGAACTAGAGGCTCTGATGTAGCATGCAAGTTTCTTTGAACACTGGACTACATGCTCACCATTGTTTCTAAGATTTTTTTCAGCCTCACTACAAATTATTGCTGTTTCTCTCCCATTTCTGTTCACACATGTCAGAACGTATGCTGCACATTGAGCAGGTGATTGCAGTTGTTAAATGAAGAGGAGAAAGAACTTTTCCAATGATGATGTGCTTTTCCCAAATTGTTCTCCCCATGGAGTTTTATCAGCACAAATAGTCAATCTCCCTAAATTCTCAGAGTAGTCAGCTCTTGCTACTATTTCTGTTGTTCCTTGCCAACCAGCATGCTCATCAGCCTTCCACAGCTTAATTTAGAAAAAATAAATTTACAAAAAAAATTCAATATTCTCACTCATAAAAGAATACAGCAAGTGAATACAAGTAAGCAAAATAGTATTGCGATTCACAGCATTCTTTGTAAAGATCTTAGAAATTTAAAAATGAAAGTAGATGGTACTGTCTCAGGAATTAAAATTATAGCTTCAACAATCCATGCAGAGGCATTATATAGCATTTCTCATTTCATGTTGAATATTAGAGCAAAGGATTTTTTCCCAACAGTTTTTGCTACCCCCCCCCAAAAAAAAATCTAAGACCTGCTTATTTTAATTAAAAAAACTGCTTTTCCTGGTTCTTTTCTATTATGTAAACAAAAGTAGGTGCTATCTGGATTTGACATGGATTATATCTTACAATAGTGACAATTTGAGGTCTATAACCAAAGGAGCATTTTTCCCTCCCTAGATTGAAAATGAAAAGATAGAAATGGTACTTCAGCTTTGCCTCTAATATGCTTTGAGACTCTGAGCAAGTGAATTCCTGAATTGCTTTTCAATGAGGGGAAATCCTTAACTTCACTTGGGAAACTGGTGAAAAGAATCGACAGCCTGAACACACAGGAGCTTTGCAAATTCTGCAGATTTTATCCCCCATAAATAGTTCATAAAACCAAAAGTATGTCATTTCTAAAATGCAATTTTGGTATTCTAGGATTCCAATACACTTGGAAAATACTTAGTCTTAAATAATTTCCTTAACTAGGCGAAACCCCCTGAATGGTACAAGGAAAAGCTGAACTTTGCCGCTGTTGCCTACTCTTTGCCTTCATACATCACAAACCAGATTGTACCTTTACTAATATATTATGTATTTTACACAAAGAGTATTGGAATATAATTTTTTTGAAGTTTTATGTCTTGGTAAATTTGCCAGTATATCATTTGTGATTTGCTTTTATTTAAGGTAAAAAAGAAAAAAGACAAGCCCCACAGGCTAAGCAAATGATCACCAGTCATAAGTGAATCTTTCGAATTTGAATTTTCTTTGTTATGGTTTGCTGAATTTTTTAACTTATAGAGACTACTATAGAGTTAGTCTCCAGTAGTAATGTAATGTTCAAATATTCCACTATCAGGCAGGCTTTTAAGCCATTAAAAACCCACATCTTATATCATAGTGCTTCCCTCCCAATTCTTATTTTCTGCTAATGTGTATATTCTAGGAGATCTCTGTCAGACTGTTTCTAGCTCCTGGCATTGGCCTGACACGATGCAAGCAGTTATAGGATAGTGTCTGTGTGAGCGAGTGAGTGAGAATAAATTACAAATCAACAAAATTACAAGCTGGAAGAAACTGATCAAATATGTCAAAATGGAAGGCATCCAAAGCAATTTGTCTTATATCTTAAGCACATTCACTTAGATGACTTAAGCTATTTATATATTAAAGTGATTTCTAGCCCATCTAATAAAATATAGAAAACATGTTTATTAAGACAATGCATTTTGAAACATCTCACACAGTGCAGAGATTATTAGTGTTCCTAAAGCATGGGGGTGCTGGTGATGAAGGCAATTCTCTTTCTCCTGTGCAGGGATACTTTCAGTGCCTTGCATCCTGCCTGGCACAAGCTAGGAATTTAGAAAACCAAACCAACCCAAAACAAAAAAACATTCCTAAGAAAAAATGAGAAGAAACTTCTGTCCAGAGTTTCTTCAGTTTGCAACATGGAGTTTCATACAACACATGTCAAAGTAGGTTCTTGTGGGAGCTGCTGATATTCTTGCAACCACGTGACTCGGTGGGTGGTGCTGGCTCCGTGTGTGTTTGACTGGTAGTGTTACACGCTGTTTCTGACCCACACTCAGCTGGAAGACTACTGCTTGCTTGTAGTCTGATAGTCCAAATAACAGATAGCTTTTTTATTGTTCTTATTTGAATTCCAGCAGGAATATGTATTACTAACTCATGTGTCCTAGTGGTCAGAGGAAATAGATGCGCCTGTGACATATGGTTTCTGGTGGGGTAAAAGTGTTAGGTGCTTCCTATTGGGAAACACCACTTGGTGCCTACAGTCATCGAGGAGAAAAGAATCAATGATGAAAAGCTACAGTTGTATAAACTGTGATATAACCCCCATTATCAGTGACCCAAGACTTTATTGTCTGACCACCTATGTTCAATAAATGCACATGCGTACATATGTGTACATACACACAATATTTATTATATGGACTACTTCTTCCAGATAATTAAAATTCTCCTTGACAATGAGAAGACATTTTTTTTTCAGTGCTTAGTATACTCTAACTCTCCACTGTGACACTTACTGTTTTATCTTCATATTTTATTTCTATATTTATATCCCAAACTATTGTAGAGAGAGGAACAAATCTTTTTTTTTTTAATCTCTAACACATGGCAAAAAAATAATAGTAGTGTATCATTCTTAACCATGAATTCCATTTTAAAATATCTAAAATAAGCATCCAACTAATACTCACCAAATAGATCAGAGATAACAAATCAGTACTTAGAAATAGTCAGCAATCCCTTGTACATCAGAGCCACTCAGAGAATAAAACTCTCTTATGTAGCATCTATTCCTTTAAAACAAGGAATTAGGAGTCTCATATCCAGCAAATATAAATTTATGCCAGAATAAATCTCATTTTCTATTTGGAATATAGGACTACTTAATAACTGCAGGGGGATTATACAATTATACTCAAAGTATAATGAAATCTGTGGGAGAATTTGTATTCCTTTTTCCTCAGGTAGAAAAGCTTGAGTCCTCAAATAACAGGTGTTCCGTATTTTCTGTGTCGAACTGAGAACCAAAGAGCAAAGAGGGATAGAATGCTCTGGTTAAAATCAGAGCCACTGAAATCTACCAAGAGTTGATGCTTAAAAACTATTTATTTCAATTGACAAATGATACATTATAAATACTCATAATCATTCAAATGATGTTTTGATGAATGTGTAATGTGCGATGTTTTAACTAATACTATGGGATTCAGTTGCTCACTTCAACACTTTCTCCTGTTTTTTTATCTGTGAAATAATTATGCCATTTTCTTGGATGTGGTTTTCAAGATTTCATATTTTAAAGCATTACTTTAAATATCCAAGTATAACACAATAGATTGCTGCATCAAAATAAGAGAAAAATTAAGTCAAAGAATGAGTAAATGCAATAGGAATGTATTAAAGAGTAGAGGAAAGAAGTGGAGAATGTAAGAGAAAGGGATGCAGAAGAATGAAGAATCTAGCAAAGAAGGAGGGAAACTGTTAAAATATTTGATAGAGCTTGCCTTCAATGCACATGCTTTTGCAGGCGTAGTTAGTATTTCAATGTCCTTTGTAAGTAAAATAGCAACGTCTTCCCTTTTTAATAGCAAAGTTGCAGCTGCTGTTGCCGACGAAGAGATTCACAAATCAAAATAGACTCAGCTTTTCAACAATTCTGAAAAAAAAAAAAAACGAGGGAACATTGGCAGTGTGAGACGGCACTACAGCATCTCAACCTGGGGTCTTGTTAGGAAAACAAAGTGTGAATCGCTTGGAGACAATTCCCTGCTCTTGGTGATTCCCCTTGGGACCGTTCCTGGTCTCACATGCTTCCTCTCCCTCTATAATCCAATTCCCCTGAACAGGAGATGTTGGAAGAAGTATGAAAAAAAACACTATTGTGAAATGCTTATTCTTCCAGTTTTTTTTTTTATATCAGTATGATTCATACCTAACGGTTATTAGCCTGGAGCACCCAGTACAACTTGGAACCGAGGAAGCTGGACCAGCATGTGAATAATTAGTAGGTTGCATAAACAGAACTCTATGCAAAGTCAATAGTAAAAACAGGTGTACAGTTATACGGCAAAATTTTCATGAACTTTTTTCTGTTCTTTCTCTCTCAAGGGAAAACAAGAACTAGCAAGAGCTTGAACAGTAAACACCTAGGCTTAGACTGGAAGACAGTGTGCTTGCCGACTCTCTCGTTCCTGAAAGTTGCTCTGGAGCTGTGATTAAGGTATCTGGGGTGAGGGGAAGGGAAGGAAGCATTTGGCAAGTTTTGTTATGACCAACCGTCTTTCTCTACTCCTGTAGTATGTAAGGGGAGATTTTTCTTTAGCAGACTGAAGAGCTATATCTATTAAACATTTTAAGGAATTTATTAATATATTAGATTCTGCATGTTATAGCAATTGCATGATAATTGCCATAGCACAATTGTCATCAACGCTCAGATTGCGATGCTAATACAAAGAGAACAGTGTAGTTCATAGATGTTTAATACATTAAATGGAAGTCAGTATTTGTCACATTCCAAAATTATAACTAATAACAGTGTGCTTGTAGTGCTAGTTTAGTTGGTGGGCACTGGCTACTTGTACAAGATCTTTGCTTTCTCCCGCTCTCATTTTGTACTTGATCAAACCCAAAGTTGTCATGCTTCATTATTAGTAGATGATCTTGAGCAGCCTTGCATTCGAAAAGAATATGCCATGGCATCTGCCTCTGTGCTTCTGTGCCCCGCCGTACAGATGATGCTTTACCAGGAGCGCTGGGGGAGGCTGGAGAGGAGAGCAGGTTTTTCTCAGACTAATATTTCTTTTTGCAATACTATGTCTCATTCTTTCATTTATGCCTGATTCAACGCTGGAATTCATATATCACACTGTGACTATTACATATGTTAGAGTATGTAATAAGGATTGTAATGTATTTGCTTGAATGTCTTAACTAATGAATTCCATCAAATTTAATTATCATTCCTGGACTCTTCATTAACCAATCAAATTACTTCTTTCGTGTAAGTCTAACCTGCTTGAACTAGGCATAAGCACAGTTCTCTTAAGTAAACCGGATGTGATAATATCATGTCACGGATTGTTATTTGGAGTTTTAAATGTCTAAGGAATCACCTTTTAGGTTATTCTTATTGCACACAGAGAAGTAAGGTTACAGTGAGAAACTCTTTTTGAAAACCCTTAAATTCTTTCTTTTTATTCCTTAGGTATTTGCTATAGTATGTCCACTAAAATAAAATTACACAAATAAGTAAATTATTTTTTCCCATGAATTCTCCTATCAACTTAATATATCCAGTATGTCTGTGCTATACTACAAGTTCTTTACCTTTTGGGAATAAATTATTTCAGTACAGAAGCTTCTCTATCTCTAGAAACCCTCTACAAAATAAGATCATAGTTATTGTTGAAATAACTACTTCCAAATTATCATTTCTTCTATGAGTTACTAAAACAACAATGTGATTTTATAAGCGTCACTGTCGAATATCAATGATTGTTTAGCTTACATTCCACAGTACCATGTAAAACAGATCGTTCACACATGTTACAAAACTAGCAGGTACCTAATATTCTGACTTATGATTTTTATAGTTTTTTATTCCCTCCTGCTCACTTTACTTGAAAGGTAGAATAGAGAGAGAGGGAGAGAAAGAGAAAGACAAGAAGAAAGAGGTAGGGAGGTGGAGGGAGAGAGATCATTCTCACTCCCCAAACACCTCTAACTGCTGAGACTTGGTCAGGAGACTAGAGCCTGTCCTGGTCTTCCATGCGGATGAGACAGCCATCAGAATGACTCACAGGGTGCTCATTAGCAGAACTCCGTATTGGGAGAGGAGGCAGGGCTCATAGGACTCTGCTACAGGATGTGGGGCCTTCAATGGCATCTTAATCACCACGTCAAATGACCAGCCTCTAGCATGGGATGCTTACTATGTAGATGTTGAAAACACTTCTATTTTTTTCTCTTCTCCTTTGCTGCCTTTAAGAAAGAATTTCATTTTCAATTCTGCAAATATTTAGAGGTTTTTAAAAAATGATAGAGATCTGACTCTGTGTGTGTGTGTGTGTGTGTGTGTGTGTGTGTGTGTATGTGTGTGTGTATGTTCTTACACCCATCTTTGGTGAGGTGTGGATCTGGGAAAGAGCACAGAGGGTTCTGGAGCTAGTAATTAGAATATGAATGGCAAGTGATAACAATAAACTCCAAAGTTCAAGAATCGCTGCTTTTTGACACGAGAAAAAGCTGACAGAAAGGTATCATAATGACATATGTAAATTATATCAAAAATAAAATTGTTAAAATCAAATTAGTTTTTTCTTATTCTACATGTATGTATTGACAGTACTTCACAAACTGTGATATGCATTTGCAATTACTGACATTTAATAATCAGCATTTTGTGTAAAGTAGGAAAGCAAGGATATAAATATGTATTTAAATTTTCCCCAGATTGGCAAATTTTTACCTCTATAATAGCAAAAGATATTAAGTTAAGTACAGTATAAATAATTATCACATTTGAAGCTCTAGTTTTACAAAGCTCTAGTTTTAGTTTTCTAAACAAAATCAGACTTCTACTTTGGCGCCTTTATTAGGAACTCTAGCCTTTTTTAAAAAAAGATTTATTTTTATTATTTTCTTATTGGAAAGGCGGACATACAGAAAGGAGAGACAGAGAGGAAGATCTTCCATCCGATGATTCACTCCCCAAGTGAGCTCAACGGCTGGTGCTATGCCGATCCGAAGCCAGGAGACTCCTCTGGGTCTCCCACGCAGGTGCAGGGTCCCAAAGCTTTGGGCCGTCCTGGACTGCTTTCCCAAAAAGGGAAGCGGGGCTGCTGGGATAGAACCGGCGCCCATATGGGATCCCAGGCGTGCAAGGCGAGGACCTTAACCACTTGCGCCACCGTGCCAGGGTGGAACTCTAGCCTTTTGTTACAGTTCTATGTGACACTTTTCCTACTGTTGTGTCACTTTCAAAGAGGCATTCCTGCTCCAGCCAAGTTCAAGCTTTTGAACTGTTTCCCCAATTTTTAATAAATGAACATTTCTGTGTTGTTTAATCTTTCAAGAAAATTTTCTCTTAGCTATTTTTTATGTATCTCTAAATGCTGAAACAGCCAACATTAGACCAGCTTCAAGTCAGCAGCCAGGAACTCAGTCTGGGACTCCCATGTGAGTAGCAGGGATGAACTGCAAGAGTCAACACCTATTGCATCCTAGGGAACACACTCAGTGGAAAGCTCTTGCTGAGAGAAAAGGCAGGACTTAACTCTTTGCACAGTGAAATGGGATGTAGTTGATCCATGCAGTGCTTTAACCTTTGACAAGTATCCCCTCCCCATAGATTTACTTCTGGAACAAACAAGCTAGGCAACATTTGCCAACTTAACATTCCAAATTCTAAAGTATGTATATGCTTACATGAGAGCTAGGAGACAAAAAAGTGTCTTCGGAACCATGGAAAGATAGAATGATGTGATTACCTGAGGCACTGGAAAAGAACAAAAAGGCAGCATTAGTTCTAGTCAGAAAACTTCAGAGAATATTTGACCCATAAAACTAATTGATGTTTCCTACATGGCAGATTCCACTGAGACAAAAGTTTAAAAAGGAAAATGATCAAAATTTATAGGCTAACACACTTTGTGAATAAAAATATATCCTATAATGACTGAAATAATTTGTTCTTACCATATCCTTAAAAATCCATTATTCATCAAATTTCCTGGGTAGAGGTAGAGCTTCCAAGACACAAACAGTGCAGCAGGCAATGTGAGCGTTTGGGAAGTAAATGAGCAAATGAACTCTTTCTCCCTCCTCAGGTTTCTGATCAGTCAGTCCCCATCTCCTATTACGTGGTTCACCCTATCTTGATCAATATAGAGCTTGAATTCACATTATTATTATTATTCAACAAAGATATTTAAACATCTACAATGCCAGTTACTCTTCTAACCCTATTGTCCAGGCGTCTATTTTTTTCATTTTTAGTTTATTAATATTATTTTTGTCATAAGGGCAAAAAGAGAGAGTTCTGCTATGGGTTCACTTCCCAAATTGACCAAAGGGCCAGGATTGGGCCACGCAGAAGCCAGGAGCCTAGAGCCCTGTAGAGAAGATCCACAAGTGTGGAAAGCACCCAAGCGTTTAAAAGCATTTACTGCTTTTCTATGTTCAGTAGTGGGAAATGGATCAGAACTCAGATCTGGTAGCCTGATATCACAAACAACTTGGCCCTAATGTGCTACAAAGCCAACATCCGGTCCTTGCACTAATGGAGACTTTCTTTTCATGGAGAGATAAATTATTAAGTTGCCAGCATATAAATAATTGCATTCACCAAAATGCTATTCATCTAATAACTAAGCAGATTTTTCTCTCTATATTTTCTCCCATGTTTGTTTCCACTTAATGATACTACTCCTTATTTGACCTCATTGATCTTTACTATTTTCTGTCATCCATTTAAATCAATTTGATCTACTTATCTACAAGGAAATGCACATGTTACATAATAGGTATGTTGGATTGTCTGAGAAATCTAATCTGGGATGGTAAGCCTGAAAAAGATCAAGTAGCTGCGGTACAGTCATTATGGACTTCATTACCCACAGCCCCGGCCTGAAAGGCATCTTTCCTAATGCTGAGATTGTTGATAATTGTATTTTCCAGTGACTAAGTTCTCTATTCTATTTATTTCAGAATAAATCTCTGTGCATTCTGCCTGTCTGGTAAAGTAACTTGGTAAGGATTAAGTGTGACTAGATACTTTTACAGTCAATAAGGACTGTACATATCTGCTCAGTAGAAAAAAAAAATAAACTTGTGAGAAGTCACTTGGCAATAGCTATAAAAACTATTGAGTTGAGGATATTGGATATAAAGCAGGAAACGTATAATTAGAAAATAGCATGGCAACTTTGGAGAATGTAGACACCCTTTAATTCAGGTAGAGATAACCCAGTAACTGGAAAGAAATGTAGGAACTGGACATTAATTCTTAATAACTTCCCCTAGACTAATTATCATTTAAAACAATTATCAGTTAAAAATAAACTAACCACATTAAACAAGCAACATTTAATTAGAGTAGAACCACTCTAATTTAATAATGAAAATGACTTTCCCATTTGCTTATGCTGAGTTTTCTTTCAGTCTAGTGAAATATTTTATAGGCAAGTTAAGTTCCTTTCTTTTTAAGATGCTAGAATAATGAACCCTGGAAAGGTAGCCCTCCTAGTCCATTCGGCTCCTGGAACAAGCCAAGTCTAAAGAGCTTATAAACGACAGGAATGCATTTCTCACAGTTGGCGTGGGATGGGAAATCCAAGATCAGATAGCTGGATGATTTATTTTGCCTGATGAACACCTGCTACCTAGGCAGCTGCCTTTTCACTGAACCAGGGAGTCCCTGCCGTCTTCTTTTATGACGATGCTCATCACGTTCTTGGGGCGTAGCCATCATGACCTAAACACCTTCCAAAGAGCTCTGACCTCGTGAGACGTCAGCACTGGGGTCAGGACTTTAAATATGAATTTTTAAGAGAAGTAAACATTTTTTTTTTATCACAGCTCTTTTCTTTCTCTAACATTGTCTTTTCCTAACATTGTTTTTTGAAATAGTTTCCAGTTGTACTGAATAAGTGTAATTGCTTATTCACAATTTATTTTATTCTAGCTATTCACCACCTCCTCAATTAAGTAACAGGTTAATAGCTATATCTTAACAATAAATAAATATTCTGTCAAGGACCAGGAAGGAAAGAGAACTGAATACAAGGTAGAAATAAAAAGAGCTGATATGCTAATTAAGAAGATGTAGACTTATCAAGTTCCCAAGGGCTGAAGGACTTGGGTCCCAGCAGGTTGGAGAAACTGAAAAATTTACTGAAATTGACAGACTTAGCAAATATACTTGTTTAATGATGAAGCCATCAGAAAACTGCACCCACTGGTCTGAAAGAGTAAAGTTCATTTTCCTGAGAATCTAGAATCAACAGCAAAAAAAAAAAAAATGTTTTTAAAAGACAACAAAGAAACTCTTCTATGACTAATCAAAATACAAGGCCACAGTATGATTGATGTATTTATTCTTTCAGTATATATGAATTTTTCAAAGTGTAATTTATATACTAGCAGAAGCCTATAATTGTGTAGGAAAATGTGTTTGAATAGGGCACATAAATACTTTCAGAAGAAAACAAGATAAACACCCTGAAAATGAGTTTTCAATTGAACACATTATGATGGAACCCTGAGAGATAATTATTGAGCATAGCAAAAACACGCAGGTAGTACAAAAAGGTAGAATCGTGAACACTTAGAGTTTTTTTTAAAAAAAATCATAAATTTTAAACAATAATTGCAAAGACAAAAGGAAATAGAAATAATCAGGGGACACTGTGAAAACAAATTAGCAGATTTATAAAAAGAAATGACCAATTTTTTTCCCAGATTTAAAGGTCTAATTAAAACATTTAACAGGAAAAGAAAAACAGTGTCTGGGAGTATTAATGAACTGTAAAATATGAAGAAACTTTTCAGATTGAGCACTGGGAATTACAGACAGGGAGATGTGACTGGAAAATTAAGAATTTTGCAAAATGCTAAGAATGCCAAGTGTCTACTGAGAATTCCAGAAAAATAAGACTGCAAGAAAACTGCTGAAGAAAGAAGTAACTACATATTTAGGAAATCATTCCTAATTGCAAACCCAGTGAAAGCAAAGTCAAAGAAACACAGAAAAATGGCTAATTCATCAGACATAAAGACGATGGAAAAAAGTGTCTAGTGTAGAAGGAAAAATAACGAGCAAGCTGAGGTTTTTATTCTTGAGAATAAAACCAAAAATATATTTTTTAAGAAAATGAGTAAGGATATCCACATTCAGAATCATTAAAATAAGACAAATGTTTTCTACATTTTGGCATTATTATTTTTACCTGAAACTGTTATTAGATTTACTGAAAATACATAACACTGTCATCAGTGGAATACTAAAAAACAAATGTTTGCTGACATATCTTAAAAAAGAACAAACATTTGAAATTTTAGTCATGGCAGAAAATGCCCTTTGGAAGCTAAATGAAGAAAAATTTGGGACTAATACTGCCCTGATTATTGATCATTTCTGTAAATTCTCGCATTGCTATACTTCTTGAAAACTTAAAGTGTAAGCTTTTCGTGTTCTACTCAGAGTATCTCGCTATTCTGGGCCCAGCTGTCCCGGTCTTCTGTCTCTGTCTTCTCCAATTCCATTATGCCATCACATACAGCACATTGTTCCCACCTGCCATTTTTAATTAGGCAAACCAAAAATCTGTGCTTTTCCACTGAAAAATACCTCTAATGCATAGCAATGATGCTTCTAATGCAAAATTACACCTTATACAAATAATCATTTTTTTACTTTATAAACTTGAATGTATGTTGCAATTGAATATCTATTTTGTCTTTCCGTGCTCCCATTAGAACACTTAGTTTGTAACTGTAACACTGTGCAATATGTAACAGTTTAAGGAAATCCATTATTCCCCCATAATTATTGATAATTATTTTTATTGAAATTGTAACACTTTTGATCAAATCAAAAATTTTCCCATGTCTTAGCTAACATATTTAGTGATGGAAATGATCGTTGCCCTTATTTGTTGTTCATAGATCAAAGTTCAATATATGTTTAATTAAAAAGCATTACTTGGTTGTGTATGGTAGCAATTCTTGTTTCTGTAGAATGAAATTCATCTTTCTTATGACAGAAAATTATTTTTGCATATTAGGACAGCCTTTCCATTCATAAAGGGAAACTATAGTTTTTAGTTTGTGGAATAGAAATCATCCATTTATTTGGTATGGATGCTGAAATTTAGTTCGTGAAACAGAATATAGATCTGCTTATATTTATGTCTGTAATGGGATTCTGAGCTGTGATATATGGTTTTCAGTGTATGCAGAAAGGATTAGATACATTTTTTTCTCTCCAAAAATGTCATCAACAATGTCAGTCTCAGAAAATAGGTGAACCCCCCAATGTTTCAGATTTTTTTTTTATTAAAAATAGTCACGATTCAAAATAACCAGATACTGAAACTATAAAGTGTGACCATGAAAAACTAAAACTTTTTATTAATAGTTTCTGTACTGAAATTGTTATACCCAAACAAGTGTTGTCCTTCACTGTGGTAACCTTGGATTTCACAAATAGTGCTGTCATTCAAAACATGTTACTATCATATTTTTGGAACATTAGAGCCAATGTATGACCAGGAAAATTTTTCAACAAACACCAGTAAACTTTTGCATTATTTTAATCTGTGCAAGTGGGTAGACAGCCTTGGTGATCTTAAGGAGCATTTTTTTCGTAAGTCTTTCTTCTCTTCGGTTAAAATGGGCATTTGTCAAGTATTCTTTTATTCTAAAGCATGGTCTCTTCCCAAACAAAAACTTTTATATATCACATAGAATCAGACCTCAGAGGCTGGTGAACACGTAAGATCCTTTGTTGGCTATAAGATGTCTAAGTTGGGGCAAGATCATTAAGTTTCAAGCTGAATGCATAATAGTAATAGGTTATTAGATACCATGGAGCAAGCCATGACATGTCCTTTGTAGCTTTCTTTATTGGACTGTAAAGCTTAGGACTGACTTCATAATTAGCATTTACTGTTTATTTTTTGTTAAATGTATACAGCGTAGACATGAAGGAACCAAACTTGCATCAGGAGCAGATTAGCCTACCAATAAATTTGCCAAACATCTAATGAAGAGATTACACAATTCTCTCTACCCCCTAATAAAAAGATGAACCCCTGATGAAACTGCAAGATGTATTTTGACAGTAGGATGCTGGCCTTATGCCATTGTCTATACCTACAATGTTATGATGGACTTGTGACTGTTGTTAAGGGACTATGCTATTGTAATAATGTGGAAGAAAAGTCAAATATTGCACCAATTTTTAAATCTAAGACATTATATGAACAATACAAACCAGTACTTCTGAGAAGCATAACGCGACAGTCCTCAAAAAAGGCTGTCCCTACGTTATCCTGAAACCAATGATGGAAATGGAGACACTCCAGCCCTCTGTTACAAACCGTTCATTTGGTCAGTCAATCCTGATTGGAGCACTGTTCATTATGGCCAAGAAATATGATTTTATCAGTCTTTACAAAAGCATAATTTTAATTCACCACACTAATGAATAGAGGGGATGGAGAGAGGGGCTTTGGGAGGTAACAGGCCAATGTAATCATGTTCTCAGAAATTTTTTAAAGCTTAAACTTTATCTCTCATTTACCTTGTTGCTTATTAATTTACGCTTCCAACAAAAATTGTATTGTATATAACTTATTAGGAGTTATATTTGATAATAGAGCATATAATCATGAGCAAGATAGGACATATCCCTGCCATCTGGGATTCTGTATTGTATTGGGTAATGAGGCAGTCAACAAGATAGATATATGAAATATTAACATCGTAATAATCTGTGCTAAAAAGAAAGCAAGAACTTAATATATTCATAGTGTTGAAATTTACAAACATTGTTCAGAGATGGTCAGATTGAGAGTGATGGTGAAAGAAAATGCCTCCTCAGTGTCTGTCTGAGCAGCATGGTAGTTAGTTATTTAGGTGTCACAGTACAGCAGAACAACCACAAGTAAGTGATTGCAGTGATGAGAAGTTAATATAATCTTTCTAATATTTTGATAAGTTTGATATTAGGAATGAAGGAGAATGAATATTCAAAATAACCATGCTAGATAAGGCCTTGGTGAAGCCATTTGCTGTGACTCAGACAAGAATAAGGAACAAAGGGAAAAGGAAATTCAGAGATTCCAGAAAGACAACTAGATGAAGGTAGCTGGACCACAAGGCAAAGTCTTGGATGAACTTATCAAATCAAAATTTGTGTTAAATGAGATGCTCCCAGTAGCGAACTAAACAGCCCCTGACTAAAACTTGTTTAAACAGCACTTGTACCTGGTATTTAACACTTCATTGTATCTATTTATGAAGTGTAACTCCTATAAAGTCACACAGTTGATCCAGCAGTTGATTGGTATCTAAAATGTGAGCCAGCATCTATCAGAGCCTCTTGGCCTATCCTCATGTTTCCAGTACTTTCACAGCATCCCAACATCGTATTCTTGGATAGTAACAGTGAAAACAGAATAGCTATCCAGAAAATGGGCAGCAAGAAATGACTCCTTCATCATCACCATTACTTTATTCTTTGTGTCAACAAAGAAAATTGTGTGCATTTATTATGTGTTATGTAATATTTTAGACATTCATGGTGGAATGACTACATCTCACTACTTCATGCATGTATTGTTTCACAGTTATTGTTTTTGTAATGAGAGCACTTCACATCCACTCTGTTATTATACTGGTAACTGTAGTCAGATTTTATACAGTACATCTCGTGAACTTAATGCTCTTGTCTAACTGAAATTTAATATCCTTTGTCCATTATCTCCCCACCTGCCCACCACAAGCACCCAGGTCTCAGCCATGATAATTACCATTCTGTTGTTTACTTCTATAATACTGACTTATAAGATTCTACATTTGAAAGATCATATGATATTTACCTTTCAGTAACTGCTTTATTTCTCTTTAACGTGATGACTCCCAGCTTATCGCAGCTTTTGCAGGTAAAGATTTAATTCTTTTGTATCTTGAATATTATTCCATTGTGCGTATGTGCCACATCTTCTTTTATCTGTTTATCAATCGATGATTAGTAAGGATATTATAAATAGGGCAGCAGCACTTTGTATATATGAATATATATGTATATATGTGTATATGAAGATATATATATCTTCAATATACTAATCTCATTTAGTGGGGGGGCATATACCTACTAGTGTAATTGCTAGATTATATGATAATTCTATTTTCATTTTGAAAGACACTCCATATTTATTTTCTATATAGGATTTGGTGATGCATATTTCTACCAATAGAATTTCCTGAATACCTTCCTGACCAGAGTTATAAGCCCATCCCTGTACCATCTCTCGCCAAAGGGAAGAGTATCTTTAAATTCAACAATTTTGAGCTCTTTCTTGTTATTGAAGCATAACAGAAGCTAGAGTATATTAGAAATTACTTCCACATGCTTTCATGCAACACAAGGCCTTCTGTTATAGGTGGTATTCAACATCAGGATAGTGTGATGTTGCTAATAACACACCCATTCTCCAGTAAAAGTACCTTCACCTTCTCTCTATTATACTCCTTATGGCCAGTGTAAAAAATCAAATTATGTATTCACTTAGTCTGGACTGTCAAACGTGAATTATTCACTCTTAGGTATGAAAATGTAAACAACCCTAAAACTTATACCTACAATAATGAGAATTATCACTCCTCAGAAATGAAAATTAAACAAACACACACTACCCCAAATGCTTGATTTTCAATATCATTATATTTGACTAGAAAAAATCAGACCAAAATCACTGGTGGGGAGATATGTAAATA